TGCTGGTGCTCCTGAGTGGGCTTCTGGTCGGTTATTCTATAGGGCGCAGGCCTTATTATGAAGCTCTCTTGGCCGCCATTAAGAAGACCTAGAATCTGAAGGGTACTCTCTCCCTTCTGACTTTAGATGATGGATTTTTTCTCTTGAAGTTCAATAATCGCGAAGATTACGACATGGCATGGTCCGGAGGACCTTGGTTCTTTTTCGAAAAACCTTTCATCCTTCAGCGCTGGACGCCAGAGTTTGTCCCCAAGGGCAAGGAGTTCCCTTCCATTCCGCTGTGGATAAAAATAAAAAACTTTCCCCTGTCTTGCTGGACTCCAGAGGGAATTTCTAGGATTTCTAGTTGTGTGGGTGTTCCATTGGCCATTGATGCCGTAACTGCTGCAAAAACCAGACTCACCTTTGCCAGAGTGTGCATTCAGGTTAGCAGCTCCTCCCCCCTACCGGACGTAATACATTACACGGTGGATGGTAAAGCCTTTCATCTTTCTGTTCTCTATTATTGGAAGCCCGTCCCCTGCACCTTCTGCAATTCTATCATGCATTCTCAATCCTCTTGCCCAAAAAATCCTAATCCTGTTGCCACTGAACCTCCTCCAAATCGGGGTAGAAGTTTCAGTAGAAAGCCTTGCAAAGCTCCACCTCATCGCCTTACCATTCCAAGACCCCCCATACCCTCGGCCTCCCAGCCTCCACCTTCAATCATTACCATCCAACCCCCGCCAACCATCACTATCCAACCCCTGACAACTATTCCACCTTCTTATGCTGCTCTGCCCAACCTCAATTCTCCATCCACTGAGTCCTCTGATATACCATCCTGTTCTACTTTACTGCAAAGTGCTAAATTACCCCAATCCAATTCCATTTCCTCCCCTCCTCTTTTGAAATCCCCTCCTGTCTCAACCACAAATAAATTCTCGGCCCTCTCTGATCAAGATAATCTCTCGACTATCATGACAACTTCTCTGACCACCACCACTTCAAATGACCTTGGTGATGTTGGGAAGCCTCCTAACATTGTTGGTAGCTCATCTATTGTCAATGACAAACCTCCTTCCTCACAACCACCTGCTTCTAATGTCCCGTCCAAGGCCACCAGAGGAAAAACGGCCAAGAAGGCCTCCACCCCTACTTCCAAATCCCAATGACCAGCCCTCCTATGTTGGCGGCGTGGAACACCCGTGGGTTCAATAGCCCAGACAAAACTTTGTGCTGCAAAAAACTTGTTAACACTTACAACCTTGACCTCCTTTTCATTTTAGAAACTAGAATCTCCTCACCCAACACCAACAACAACTGGTTCCTTTCAACACACTCCATTTTCTCCCACGAAGGCTCTTACGACAACTTTGCTTTTGCTAATCCCGGTAGAATTTGGATTAAGTGGAACTCTATGAATGTAAGTTTCAACCCAGTTTTTACGTCCAGTCAGATGATTCATGGTCAGGTTTTTAAAGGTAATGCTGAACCTTTTTTGGTTACTGTGGTTTATGCATCAAATTCATTGGTTGAAAGGCAAAACCTGTGGAAGGATTTACTGGATATTGCTGATGGTATTACTTCCCCTTGGATTATTCTCGGGGACTTTAACCATTGTCGTCACATTAATGAAAAGGCTGGGGGTTCTTTGCTTACTAACTGTAAGGTTTCTGACTTCAACAACCTTATCTTTAACATTGGTGCACATTATCTTTTCTCTGTTGGGCACTTTTTCACATTGTTCAACCAACGTATCGATAATCCTATTCATATTAAGCTGGATAGGATGTTGGTTAATGATGCTTGGCTTTAGGCCTTTCCTAGTTCTTATTATTTGGTGGATGATCCTCAGATATCCGATCATTCTCCTATTATTTTACACAATGGCATCAATGCTCAACACAAGCATAGATTCCTATTAAAAAATTATTGAGTCTCTAAACCTGAATTTTGGGATGAACTTTTCTCTGTGTTCTCTCAAAAATTTCACAGCAGCCCGATTCATTCCTTCTATCAGAAGCTCAAAACTCTTAAGCTTAACATAAAATCTAAGAACTGGGTCTCTTCTAATGCTTTACATTCTGAAATTTCGGAGCTCAATTCCTCCCAAAACTATATTCTGAGGCAAATTCATGATGCTCCCCTTGAGCCCCATCTTAATCTGGCTTTGAAGGAGGTTAACCACAAGCTTCTTGAAAGAAATTCTAATTGGTCTGCTTGGGTCATTCAAAGAGCTAAGGCTAAATGGTTAACTTGTGGTGAAGATGATATTGGATTCCTCTATTCGAGGATCAATGCTAGGCATAATACCAACTTTATCAAAAGTATCACCACCTATGAGGGGACCTTTTCTGATCCAACTGAGCTCAACAATGCCATTATCCGACATTTTCACAAGCTCTTCAATACTACCCTTCCCCCTCATACTGCCATCGGGAATGCTCCTATTCTTCTTACTGTTCCGGATATTTTTACTTCCCAACTGGTTGCTCCTGTCACCAATGATGAAATCAAGCAGGTTATCTTCTCTACCCCCAATTCCTCTACCCCGGGTCCGGATGGATACACTTTTGAATTCTATAAATCCACTTGGAATATTATTGGTAAGCAGCTATGTGATGCTATTTTATCCTTTTTCACCACTAGCACTATGCCTAAGCACGCCAAGGCCACTTGCTCTTGCTCTTATACCTAAATGTCCTCATGCTCAAGATATTTCTGATTATAGACCTATTTTCCTTTGCAATACCTTTTACAAAATCATTGCCAAGATCTTAGCAAACAGGATGAAAGATGTTATGCCGTATATTATACATCCTAGCCAATCTGGCTTTATTAAAGATAGAATTATCACTGATAACATTCTGCTTGCAGATAAGTTGCTTAAGGAGTTCAATCAGAAGGGGAATCAAAAGTATTTTTGTGCCAAATTCAACATTCATAAGGCGTTTGATACGGTGTCAAGAGATTTCTAGCTTAAGCGGTTGATTGAAAAGGGTTTCCCAACTGCTTTTGTTTCCTGGATTAAAGGGTGCATTACAGATGTGCATTTTTCTATTTTTATAAATGGAGCTCTTGAAGGTTACTTTAATTCGTCATCTGGCTTAAGGCAAGGGTGCCCACTCTCACCCTACCTTTTCTGTATTGTTATGGACATTCTTTCTTCTTGTTTTGAGGAAGCCAACATTAATAACACTTTTAAAGGGCTTCAAGCTGGTAATGAGTCCTTCTCCCATCTCCTATACGCAGATGATTTGTTGGTTTTTTCCAAGGCTAATGAGAGCAATGCACATTCCCTCAATGAGATTTTAGATAGTTTTGCTAACTTCTCCGGCTTGAAAGTGAATAGCAATAAGAGCAGTATTCTTTTTTCTAAGAATACTCTCTATGAACAGGAAATCTCTAGTATTCTCAACATTCCAATTTCTTATGCTCCTATCAAATATCTTGGAATTCCTATCTTTAGCAAGAAACTCAAAGTTTATGATTTTCAACCCCTTTTAGCTAGAATTACGACCTCTCTTGACGGCTGGAAAGCAAAATCACTTTCCATTGCTGGTCGTTTGCAATTTTTGAAGTACACCATTTTTAATATTACTGCTTACTGGGTGAGAGGCTCTTTAATTCCAAAAACTTGCATTAAGAAAATTAATTCCTTATGCTCTCGATTTTTGTATTACGGTGACATTCAAAAGAAGAAGCTCCACATGATTTCTTGGAAAAATACTTGTACGCCCAAAGCTACTGGTGGGTTGGGCATTCCAACTATTGATTCGTTGTACTATGCTTTTGGTTGTAAAACTGTCTGGAGATACTTTAATAATGAGGGTTTATTGTTTAACTGGTGGAAATCCAAACATCACTCTTTCTAGAATTTTAGGACCCATAAGAGCTCATCGTATTGGCATTTCCTTTGTGATGTTGCAAAAACCTTTTGGCAGAACATGACTCTTAATATCACTGCCTCCAGTAAGCTCTCTTTCTATTAGGATCCTTGGTGCAATGATCTTTCTGTTGCTGAACGGCTAGCTACTGATAATTTGGACAATTTAATTCCCAATTTTGATCTTTTGGTCAGCAATTGTATTTCTGATGGCATTTGGTCTCTACCTCCATCTATCCCACATAATCTGGCTGCTTTGATTTCTTCTGTTACCATCTCTAGTAACACGGTGGTTTCTAGCTGGAATAGCAATGTCAAACCTTCTTTCAAAACTTTTCATAATCAATTTTTTCAGGATCTGGAACCTGTTCAGTGGTCTAATTTCATTTTGTTTAAACACCATGATACCCGCTTCTCTATCTACTCTTGGATGGCTATCAGGAATGGGCTTAAAACTGTTGATGTTCTGATTTCCAGGGGTATTTCAGTTTCTCCTGATTGTGTTTTCTGCAAAGTTGATAGGGAAAATCTTAATCATCTTTTGTTTGGTTGTGATTTTTCTTATAATATTCTTATAAACACTCTTCCTCGCATGAGATGCATGCTGCTTAGACCTAATCTTTGGCAAGTTTATAATTCCATTGATGAGGGGGATATGGATTCAAGCCGGAAAAGTTTTTGCTATCTCCTGCTTACTGCTATTGTCTATTTCAGCTGGAAGGCTAGAAATGACAGGATTTTTGGGAATATAATTGATTGTCAAACGACTCTTATTGGCAAGATTAAAAGAGCTGTTCGTTATAAGATTTTCAAAAGGAAATGCTTTCAACATTTACAACACTGGATGGAATGATGCGAGTTAAGCTTTTGTGCAGGCTCTTCTGGACTATGGATGCTATAAAGCTGGATTGTTTTGATTACCTGGATGGCCTTTTTTGGCAACTAGGTAATATGTTTTTGAAGGACAATGATGAATGCAACATTATATATATCCCCTTGGATGGTCTCTCTGGCAACCAGAGGACTCTATCATCCGTTTAGATGAATTTTGACGCTCGGGTATTTAACTGGAATGTTGCTACCTGAGTCCTTTTTATTTTTCTCTTATCATTTTTGAATCAGTTTTGTCTATCATTTTTGGTTTTTCTGCAGCTTTAGACTGATAGTTTGTTCTAGTTCCTTTTATTCTACAGCCATTTTATTGCTGATAGGGTTTTGTTGACAGCCACTGGTTGGTTGTGGTGGCTGCCAATTTTTTTCTGTAACACTTTTTTCATTATATGAAATGGGCTATGGCCCCAAATATTCCCAAAAAAAATAAAAAAAATATCTCCGATCAGTTCCCATAAATCCTGCTGAAATATCTCGTAAATCCAGGGGATTACCTCAAACAAATGTTTCCATCAATTTTCATTTTCTTCCACACTCAGAACCTAAAAATCTTCCCTTCAGTTTTCTCTCATCCCACCCAGCCAACGTCCAGAGCTCTTTCACAACTCTTAACCTCCAAATCCTTCCTCCACTTTATCGATTCATTTCTTCAAGCTCCCTGTTCGACTCAAACAAGTTGGTTGAAGGCATCACGTGATCCCTCAAGTCTTCTCTCTCTTGTTGTTGTCCGCCTCCTACACCTGGTTTGAAGAAATCAATAGCCGACTTCCCTCTATTTCTTCTGACGTGAAAGCTCAGGTTACTGCCTCTCTCTAAGCCTACAAACACTCCACTCGTATGATTTCCCTGGTCCAACCGGCTCCTCAGCACTTGCTGCACCCTCATTTCTCAACCATCTCTTTGGAAGGTACTTGATCTTTATGAAATGAATAAATAAAGAAAGTGATCAATATCTGTACTTTCACTGGATATATATCCACAAGTTGAGAAGATAGACCTTGAATTTGCAAGAGATGTTGATGATGAGCATCTTCTTCAAATCAAAAGAGAGGGTGGCAGAAATGAGTATAAAATACCTTGTGAAGCATTGCAAAAACATATCTTATCTAAACCTTGGTGGATGCAAGAGTATCTCAGAGACTTGGACCAAAGTTGGCTTCTCATAGGTGGTAACTACAGAGAATCAGAAGAGTTGAACATTACAAGCGTCTACTGCTATGGTATGTTGGACAAATGGCTTCCATATCTTCCAAGATGAAGTACAGTTCAAATGCGGTGGATTATTTCAAACTTTCAACGAAGCAGAAAAATACCTCTCAATATTTGGTATTGGTCATTCCTTGGGATCTATAATTCACCTTCAGATTGGGTTGAGGTATGCAGTGCAAATAAATGACAATATTTTGATGGCTTAAAAAAAACAAATAGAAATACATATTAGGATAAAGGGTTATCTGCCCACACTAGAAGAGTGTGAAAGGATGAAGGGTTCTCTTCCCACACTAGGAGAGTGTGAAAGGACGAAGGGTTCTCTGCCCTCACTAGGAGAGTGTAAAAGGACGATGGTTCTCTGCCAACACTAGGGAAAGTATAAAACGACGACGGTTCTCTGCCGCACTGGGTAGTGGTGAAAAGAGTGGTTGTAAAGGCTTCTCCGCCTTGCTGTGGGTGCAAAAGGAGAGACACTATTGGTATTAGTGCAGTACTTAGAGGGTGCCTCTGAGGAGTGGATGTAGGTCTGGTTTAGACCGAACCACTAT